TGGTTTTATACAGTTCATGCAGTATTGGTATATGCTGGTTAAATAGCAATAAAAAACGAGTCACATACGAGTCACATTTCGGTTGAGAGACGGCAGTATTATAAACGCGAAAGTTTGTGTGGATGTTTGTTACTCTTTCACTCAAAAACTACTGAACGGATTTTGATGAAACTTTACAGTAATGTAGCTTATACATTAGAGTAACATATAGGTTATAATTTAGAAAGATATTATGTAAATTGGGTAAAATATAATAATATATATCAAGTGTGACATGCAGACGAAGTTCGCGGGTCAGCTAGTATAAAATATAATTATAATAAGGATCTTGCAATAGAGGTAAAAACACAATGGCGAACCGAGACTATAGATATTGTACATTTAAATATATATAACTCAAAGGTGACTGACATAGTGATCTATCAACGCACAGCCCAAACCACTGGACGGATCGGGCTGAAATATGGCATGCAGGTAGATGTTATGACGTAGGCTTCCGCTAAGAAAGGATTTTGATTAATTCTACCCCCAAGGGGATAAAATAGGGGTTGAAAGTTTGTATGAAACTTTGTCAATTTTAAACCGATCGGGCTGAGACTTTGCATGCATAAAGCTACTATGACGTAGACATTCCCTAAGAAAGGATTCCACCCCTAAGGGGTTAAATTAACGCAAGCGAAGCAAAAGCTAGTTCTTCTATAATTCTGTTTTTTTAGTAGATTTTGTAAATACTATTATGTCTATTGCATTAGGTATGTTAATTTATAAAATCTGCTTATTTTTTGTATGTAATATGCATTACAGAATTTTTTAATTAGAGAAATCGAAAATCCTACACCACATAAACGTTTCATTTCAAAAATAATAAAGTAGGACACATCCTTTTCCATCTAAAATGCTATGTATACGCCAAATTTCATGCCAATTTGTTAAGCCATCAAGGCGTGAAAGCGTAACAAAACAAACTTTCTCATTTATAACAATACTTACCCTAAATGCATAAATTATATCAAACCAATTTTAGTAATTTTTACAATCATATAACATAAAAATCCGTTTCAAATTGGGATTGTTAATAACATCGTTACATAATTAAGACCGATTGTTACTACCATACCGGCCACGTAGTTGTATAGTTCACATTTTGCATTTTTTACCATTAAAAACTAGCTGATCCACGCAACGTCCTCAGCATCACACTTATCATTATATCTAACCCAATTTATTTTTATTTTATTTATTTTTTAATGCACAAAAAACTTGTACAAAGGCGAGCTTAATGTCATATGGAATTCTCCACCAGCTAACCTTTAGGTATACAGAAAGCGCTGTGGGGGAGGTATGTCAAAAACAAACACAAAGTTACTAATAAATATTATATAATACATATGAAATGCAAATAAATATATACAAATAATAATATATATAGTATACCTGATATTATATAATGTCATACATTAATGTTAAATATAGATAAATACAATACTAATACAATGCAATACAGTTATAACTCATTTTGGTGATTCAGAAGAAAATTAAATAATTTCTTTTTAAAAATGGGCTCACTCGATGCTTTATGTAGGTTTACTGGTATTCTATTCTAATTTACATTATGTCTTTTTAAATAATAGCCTGTGTGTTATTCTGATGTATAAGCTGTATTACTATAAAGTTACATCAACATCTGTTCAGTAGTTTTTGCGTGAAAGAGTAACAAACATCCATCCATAATCACAAACTTTCGCGTTTATATTAGTAAGGTTTTATAATATATTTTTTTTACATTAAACATACAACACGGGGTCTTCTTGAAAAGAAAGTCAAATGCTGTTCATTTGTTCGTAACCATAGAAATAGAAATAATCTTTATTCAAATAAACTTAGTATAAGCACTTTTAAATATATTTTTTATTCTACCACTCATTCGCACGCAGACTCATCACATGAAGAACAAGCAAAAAATTTACACATATTCCACTAGCACTTCACCTTATTATACTATTTTAAACTGTCTGTAACAAGCTAATTGTTATTCTCTACACTGTCTTACAAGTTGGGATATGAAAAAAAAACATTTTTAGGAAATACAGAAATAAACAATAATTGTAGTATATGTGCGAAAGAGAAGAAGGCATTATGTTGTCTCTAGCGCACACTGCTGGCGTCATACTGCCCGCATAAAGCTGTGAACGGCAAGTGAGAACAGTGGTGCGTATCTCAGAGTCGATAATTATTAAAACAAACAGTACAATTATTCAATAGAAAACCGATTTTAATATTCGATTATTAATTGACTTCTTTCCACAGAAAATTTCTTCATCCGATTTTTTCAACGAAGTGTTCTGAATTACCAGAATGTAAAATAAAACAAGATTAAATATTGACCTAAAATTTTAAGAAAGAAATCGATTTTTAAACAAGTTTATGACCTACCTGATGATGAATGGTAACCCTTGCCTATTTATATATTAAGTTTAACAGCACCACGGATATCATGTTATTATGCGACTAAGATGTAATTGCTCTTACTCTGTAATTTAACTAATTTACCCTTCAATCGAAACTCTAAATACAAAGCAAACTGCCCAGAGGGATGTAATAAGTAAGACTGGAGGGAAAGGGGATTGGTAGTAATATGAACTGATGATCTTATTCCTAACAATGTACAATGTCAGGTTAACCTCTACGCGGTTCCCCCTGGAAACCATCGTGATAAATTCTTGGTGAATTTATCAGAATAGGCTAACTGACCTGACCTTATACTCATCTTATCATCCTTCACTAGTACCCCGCCAGGGTAAACCATTAGCGCGAGCGTATGCACCATTCCATTATCACCCGTTTATGGGTGATAATGGAATGACTTATTACGTCCACTTACGTTTTATTATTACGATAAAAAAATCGATATATTTTTAGTACAGAATGTCACATCACTACTTATAGGAATAACAATACATTGTTCTTTATCCGCTACATACAAGTCATTACAAAGTCAAAACGAAACGACAAAGTAATCTTTGTATAAATTATTTAAATGTATATTCTAGAAACTTGTTTTTCTCTATATTTCTAATATACAAACAGATCGGCCACTTTATGGTAGCACCTGTACAAAGTTGCCAAAGGATATAAGGATCAGCTAAAAGTAATCTATACACATGAGAATCAGCGCTGCAGCGACACACTGCGACACCAGCTGAGTGGAGGCGCTTTCTGCTCATAGCGCGATATTAGTTTTTAAGTTTTCTATATTTTTACTCTGTATTATGATGCTGAATATATGATTATTATTATTATTACATATAATAAAAATATGGACATATAATGCGTAGGAACGAGGATAATATTTTAAGAAAGGTGTTACATATGAATGTGGATGGTTATAAGGGCAGAGGAAGGCCGAAAAAGAGATGGATGGACTGTGTGAAAGATGATATGGTAAGAAAGGAAGTAAATAACGCGATGACTGCGAACAGGGATGAATGGAAGCGAAAAACATATTACGCCGACCCCAAATAAATGGGATAAGGAGCAGATGACGATGAATAAAAATATGACTCGATGGAATTAGATGTTATTTTGCGGACGTCCATTTCACTGCATCATCATTACCTTGCCTTTATCCCATTATTTGGGGTCAGCGCAGTATGTCATTCTCTTCCACTCCATTTCACTACTTAATAGATTTATATTATTTTGTTTAATTTTAACGTTTAAAGTTTAACAGTACAAAGTTAGTCGGTTTGGTCGCCGAACAGTGAACGCTAGGCTTCGAAACTATATCCAAACTCTATTCAACGCCTGATGATGCCTCGTTCAGAGGCGAAACACGTGTCGCAATATGGGTGTAGACTCAATAACGGTCGGAATTTGATCACCATTAGAAGTGTAAAAGGGCATAGGCTACATTTTAATGTGATAAAAGGGTTTTTTTTTAAATACAATTTTCCACAGACATATTCGTCCGTGCCTTTTTTAATTTACTTTAATATTATTATATTTATTTAATTTCCACTTTTGTACAACTCCAGCCGAGATGTTTCAATTTGCCTAACAGTGGCACCGAGGCAGACCTTATCCGTCTGGGCCAGAACCACCGCTGGCCGGCTGGGTGAGTTGACAACATGCAGTGTCACCTATCTTTATTAGGAGCCAGTTACATTTACCAATATGCATATACAATTATATAAATCTTACACTACTACTAATTTCACAGTTTTCATTACATTGTGTTGTATTGTTACATTATGAATTCTTACATTGCATATACAATTATGTATATGAAATCTTATTTTAAAACTATTTTCAAAGTTCACTATTTGTTATAGTCCAGGTTTTGTTTAATTATTGATTGTTTAATTAATATAATAATACAAGGGAGATAAAAGGGTTGTAAGGGGTTGAAAGGGGAGATGGAAGGTGGTATGGAAAAAACGTCATTTTTATAGCTACAAACTTGAAACTTTTTTAAACTGTTGATTACAAATAAATATGACAATCAGAGTTTGTAAAAATTTTATCGTTAAGGGGGCACAATAGAATAGGGAATACAAGTTTTTATGGAAATTCGTCATCTTTGGAGCTAGGATGTTAATTTTTTTTTCTTATTTGCTTTGGGTTAGTTTATTAAGTATTTTTTATTTATTTAATCCATGCGGACCAAGTTGCAGATACATCTAGTTATTATTATATATGAAACTAGTTACTCACCCCGGCTCCGCACGGGTGTACATGTATTATACATATAAAACATCCTCTAGAATCACTCTATCTATTAATAAAGCCGGTTAAAAACCCGTTGCGTAATTTTAAAGATTTAAGCATACATAGGGACGGACAGACAGCGACAGCGACTTTATTTTATACTATGTAATGATATCAGCATTATACAAAGTCAACACTTATAAATAACATATACACGTGTAAGTAAATAGGCCATGCAACTCATGCAATGTTACTCATTATGATGACGAATGATGATTGTATGTAAGACTCACCTCGTCAAGTACAATGCAAGTATACTGCATCAGGAGTGGGGACGCGAACATTTCCCTCAGTAACACGCCTTCGGTCACAAACTGTAATATAAAATATATAACTGATATTTTATTGTGAAGCAAATTCAAATTTAATAATAATAATAATAATAATAATCTCAACACAAGCCGTATTGGAAGGAAATTTATTTCTTCATCACTTTTATTATCACCATGTAACTCATCAAGACCGCATGTTTGAATGAATTACCCCCGTAAAAAGGGAGATATTTAAAACATATATATATATATATATATATTTATTTATTTATTTATTTATTATTTTGCACACAAAAATGTATACATGGCGGACTTAATGCCTGATGGAATTCTCTACCAGTCAACAGTCGCGTTGATCAGAGATAACAATAAGGCGGTGCAATTTAACAATTAATATATAAAAAAAACAAATATGGATAAATACGGAAAAATAATATTATATATATTATTATATGCAAATATTATAACATACTAATATACTCGTATAAAATATATAATTACATAAATAAACAAAAATTAAGGCTTATTGATTACATACAAAATATTACATATATATGTATATATATACACACATACATATAATAAAATTATATGAAATATGCATATATAGTCTCATGGGATATTCTGCAGTTAAAAGTTTGGCTGAATACTCTTACAGAAATTTTGAATAATGTTCACGCAATGATCTCTTCAAGGAGAATTTGATTGACATCTTCTGAATCCAACAGGAAGTGCATTCCAAAGATTGATAGCAGTAATAGTGAAAGACTGAGAAGAGAAATTAGAGCGAGATTAGAGAGATAAGAGAGAGAGAGATTATATATCTATATATATATAAATAATAATAATAATCTCAGGACAATTCACACAGCGCCATCTAGACCCAAGTTAAGCTAGCTAAAGCTTGTGTTATGGGTAATAGATAACTGATACATATACATAGATTTCTTTTGTAAACACATACATATTATACATAGAAAACACCCAGATCGATACAAACAATCATACTCATCAATACAATGTTGATGTTTGTGCCGTACGAGGAATCGAACCCGCGACTATTGGAAGTAAAGCGGCGACTAAACCGCTAGACCACCGAGGCCGTCTAATAAATAAATAAATTACAATCTAATTCAAAATCTTCTTTAACGTCGTTTAAAGAGTATTAGAAAGGTCTAAAATAGCTCCAAAATCAAGTCATGTTTCGCGATTTGCTGGCATGTGAAAGTTTTAGTAGTGTAATCGTAGAATAAACATTTGGGACCTCGAATTTATAACTTTCGCTGCAGTGTCACTGGTCTGGTTTTTTTTATACCACGTAGGTGTCAAAGAAGCGTACGGTCCATCTGATGATAAACGGTGGTAGACTGTGTGTGAAAACATCTTTCACAATGTTGGCTTATTAAGAATTAGCAGCACACGCAAATTGTTCTAAAAAAAAAATTAACTACGTTTCCTTATTACATCAGCTACCTGCCAATAAAAGTCTCTTCAAAATCGGTCCAACCATTTCAGAGATTAGCCGGAACAAATAGACAGATAGACAAAAATTGTAAAAAAATGGTATTTTGGTATATGTACATATGCATGTAGTAAACAGACACTCTAATTTTATTTATATGTATATATAATAATATCACACCTAGTACCAAACCGCGACTTGCTTTATTGGAATTCATAAGTATGATTGTTTGTATTGGCCTGTGTTAGAATTTTTCTAAAAAAAAATTCAACTAAGTTACTCCTTATTACATCAGCTACCTGCCAATAAAAGTTTATTCAAAATCGGTCCAGCCATTTCAGAGATTAGCAGGAAAAAACAGACAGACATATAAAAAATGTTATTTTGGTGTATGTACCGTATTTATATACATATGCATGTAGTAAAACGTTTATTTCAATAGTACAAACAGCCACTCCAATTGTATTTATATGTATACATGTATAGATAATAATATCACATCTAGTCCCAAACCCCGACGGTGATCTAACGGTTTAGCACACTACTTTACTTGCTTTATTGGAATTCATAAGTATGTTTGTTTGTATTGGCCTGTATCAATAGATAGTGGGTAGTAAAGTAGGACGGAGTCGCGGGTACTATTAATGTAGTTATTAATAATAATATTTATTTATTTATTTATCAGAATGTTTTTTTTATAACACAGGGGACAAACGAGGATGCGGCTCACCTGATGGTAAGTGATTACCGCCGCCCATGAGCACCCGCAACACCAGGGGAATTGCAAGTACGTTGTCGGCCTTTTAAAAAGGAATAAGCTCTTTTTTTGAAAGTTTTAATATCGTATCTTAAAGGTGTGTACAATGGTAATTATGTGTTATAGGTTTCATCATATTATTATAATAATTATTATTTACATATTATTGTAAATTGTAACAAAAGGGACCTGAACTAGGGTTCATTCCCGGGAATTCTCGACCCGAGAATTCCCGGGAAATCCTTGGGTTCTGTTCCCGGGAAATCAAGCTCGAGAAAAGTCGAGAACTCGAGAAATCAAGTACCTATATAGAAATTAAATTGACGTTTGTTGTATTGCGTGGCGGCGCAATAATACTAGATATTAAGGTTTTCTTTCATGTATTTTTTTTTGTTTTACAGAAACTATTTTTGTTTACAAGTTTAAGGTAGATTTTTTCTAAATAACCAGCCAAAAATGGTGCTGTCATTATAAATATAAGTCTGAATAATATTAGGTCCTAACATATGAAAGTGGTGTTTTGTAAGGGAATAACCTGAAGTATTTTTTTTCAAAATATAACATGTTTTTTTAATCAAACTATGTACCATTGCTATTTATGCACTTTTGCCATCTCATAGGTACTTCATTGATCCCTTTACTGAAAAAAACATTGGAACGGGAACATTTGGACATCATAAATCATCAATAAAATCTTTGTACTTTGGACTGCCTCATCGGATTTGAATTTTTTCCCAATCAGTTATTCAAATTTCGAAAAAAATGGTAATCTGTTGGAGCAAGATCCGGGGAGCAATTGTAAAGTCTTAGACATTACAATTGAATCTCTTCTAATTTGGTAAATGTCAGTTGTGCAGTGTGTGGTCTAGCGTTGTCCTGAAGCAGCAGTAGCCTACGGCGATAGACCAGCCTCGGTTGTTTAGCAGCTAGCTTTTCCATTTTGGTTTCTCAATTGCTGACAACACACATCTGCCGTAATCATCTGGCCAGATTTAAGAAAGCTGAAGTGAACAACACCGGAACTAGTCCACTAAACGCTCGCAAGTAACTTTTTTTGGGTCAATTTTCGCTTGGGGCAGGATTTGGTTGGTTTGCCAGGGTTCAGCCATTGCGATGAGCGTTTCCAATTATAATACAAGATCCACATCATCACAGGTTCGATTTAAAATCCCTTTATTATTATGCCGGTTGACTAATGTAACGCAGCAGTCTACGCGAGTTTGTCGATCGAAACGCGAATTGTCTACTCAATTCATGAGGGACCCACCTTTTAAGCTTTTTCGCCCTCCCAATTTGCTACAAGTGGATTAATACAGTTTTGTCACTAACACCGCAACCTGAAACTAACTCTGACGTGGTTTGTGATGGATCTGCTATCATAATTACCAACCTTGGACTCCAGCCGCCCACGGAGATTGTTTTGCAGGTCGAAATTTCCAGAACGAAAACGTTGCAAATACATTGTGCATTGCATTGTGTTTTCTTTTGCGACACCACCACCATACACATCAATAATCCTTCGAGCCGTTTCTGCAGCATTAGTGCCATGGCGGAACTCGTACTTGTACTTGTAAATGACGCGATATTTTAAGTTTTCCATTTTGTAAGCTGAGTGACCCAAAGAAAAAACCAAGCACATGTATCACGGTTTTCGAAAAACAAATGCATGAGTGAATAGCCGTATAAATTTGAAATTGAAATTTCTAACCAAAGAGGAGATATTTATGATCAAAGTGGCCAGTACGACAAAACGCTAATTTCATATTTAAAAACCTAATATATTTCAGTATTTAAAAAAAAATGGCTTATTCATAATATGTATAATGTTTTTAAATATACCTACTCAATAAAAGTTTTATAATTAATTTTATAGTTAAATTTTATAATTAATATTTAACAAAAATGCAGTGGTTTTCGTCTCAAATGAAACCACTGAGTTTTTTGACGTTATTGGGACAAAAAATAAACCAAACGTACGTAAATGTAAATTTCTCGACAACCCGAGAAGACGCGAGAAATTAACCTCGAGAATTCTCGAGACCCGAGAAATTGAAAAGCTCGAGAAATCATGAACCCTAATCTGAACTGACCTCAAATACAAGATTCTACTTAGTTTATGTACCAGGGAACGATTTAAATTAAGTAGATTTATTTTAATTAAAGTAAATATTGGATGCAAAATAAAAACTATTATTATTGTAATTACATTCTGCTGTTTACAGCGTACAAAATACACATTCTGTAATCCGAGCATATTATATATGTTATGCAATTATACAAGAAGATGTAGTAAGTTAGGTATTATATCTAATCGGATAGTAATGATAAAACAATTGAAGTATATATTGTACAATTGAAGTGCATAACAATTCATGAGTATGTTTGTTCGTATCGGTCGCAATGTATGTATTGAGTGAGTTACGGGATTGTTGGTAATGGTAAGAAGTAATCCCCATTTGACCGTTGACCTCCACGAGGGTAAAAGGGGATTTTTAGTAATGTTGACAAATTTTTTTTGTCAGTGACAATGGAATAGTGGACTTGCCTATGCTAACGGTTTACGCTGGCGGGGCACCAGTGGAGGATGATAAGATGAGCATGAGGTCAGGTCAGTTAGCACATCGTGACAAATTCATCAAGAATTTTTCACGATGGTTTCCAGGGGGAACCGCGTGGAGGTCAACCTGACATGGTACATTGCTAGCAATGAGATCATTAATACACATTACTAACAATCCCCTTTTCCCCCCTAATGTTGAGTATTGATCCCATTGCTAGCAATTTACCATGTCAGGTTCCCGGTAGAAACCATCCTGATAAATTCCTAATGAATTTGTCACGATGGGCTAACTAATAAACTTACATTGAAGCACTTTTGAATAGTCATTATCAGTACATTTTATTTTATCTACCGCTCATTTTAATTTAGAGTGCCATCCGCAGACTGCACTCGCCTTCTCTTGTCCGGTGAAGCTGTAAAGGCCAACGAATGGCATTAGAGTAGTGAAAAAACTCACCACAATACTTGTATCTGAAGATCGGACTGACGACATAGCCGCAGCATACCCAACATGCTCGCCGAGCCGCTCGCCGCGCTCGTCCGCCACTCTGCTGGCGAGCGACACAGCGGCGGCAACACGTGGCTGGGTTACGCATACTCTGTGGCCTATCTCGTATAAATACTGCAACAACAGATAAAAAATGAAATAAATAACCCTGGATAATACATCGCCATCTAGTCGACAAGCAGAGCTTGTGTTATGGTTACTAGACAACTGATATAAATACTTAAATATATTTTTTTAAATACACACATAATATACATAGAAAACACCCAGACCGATACAAACAATGATACTTATGAATACAAATGTTTACACCGTGCGAGGAGCGAGGAGGAGGAGCCAGCGGGCCGCGAGTTGAAGACCCTTGACTTAGTGGTATGAAAAATAGATAGTAGCCGATTCTCAGACCTACGGAATATGCATATAAACTTTCATAAAAATCGGTCAAGCCGTTTTGTAGGAGTATGGTAACTAACATTGTGACACGAGAATTTTACATATAAGACTAGCTGTCCCGGCAAATGTTGTTTTGCTTTAAAATAAATTAAAAATTTAGGGGTGACTACCTCCAACATTTAGGGGGATGAAAAATAGATGTTGGCCGATTCTCAGACCTACTCAATACGCTCACAAAATTTCATGAGAATCGGTCAAGCCGTTTCGGAGGAGTATGGGAACGAAAACTGTGACACGAGAATTTTACATATAATATATATTAGGTACCTATTGTAGTAATATATACAAATAACCATAGTGGAAGTGACGTCACGGCTCAGTGTAACAACACACTAATTAATAGTTATTTCTAATTAACACGCGGACGCGCTAACACGGTCACTAATTGCTTTGGGAGTTAGCGTCTATTACTTTTGAGGAGTTAATTAAAATATTGTTCAGCCGCATTACTGTCGCCGTTTTTTATTATCTATTTAGAGAATATACAAACTTTTTTTTCTCCTTTTTTTTTTTGGGAGTTTGTACTCAAAATATGACTATGACAATACTATCGTACCTATACTAAATAACAAAAACTAAAAATCTCTGAAATGACTGGACCGATTTTGCGGGATTTTATTGGCAGGTAGCGGATGTAACAAGGAGTAACTTGGCTACTTTTATTTTAGAAAAATAAAGTTAAATTCCACGCGGACGAAGTCGCGGGTACAGCTAGTCGTTAATAAAAACAATCCGACCATCCATTCTTATGACGTCATAACGGTTATCGGTTTCCTACCACTCGACAGCAATAGTCATATTGACCCACATTTTTGTAACACGAGCATTCACTTGGCAAGCGTCCAAGTCGGTGGTGACAGCAATTAAAATATACTGTTCACCATTCAATATTCCTAACAATAGAGAAGTTAGGTTAACAACATGGTTATTTATATAATCCTTAATTTATAATAGTCAGGGGGCGGATTTACCTAAGGGTGTTTTGGGCTGCAGCCCAGGGCCCCGAGGGCCCCCATTCCCTACTGAAACGATATTTAGAATATAAATAAAATCTAGAATGTTAAAAAACCTATCATAATTGTGGCACTGCACTCACTATTGTGGCACTGCACTCACTGGGCCCAACTTTCTGCTGCGTGCTGCTACACCGACCATGACAATGTACCTCTCCCGTCTACACTACTGCCACTAAGGAGCAGGACATTGTCGATTATATTCGTACCAACAGTAACCTGACATTATGGGTGACGCAGCTGAAGTCGAGTCACAACGCGAGTTTCAAAGCGTTTGTGGCCCTGGTCCCCACCGACTTGCTGCCCACCTTCATGAAAGAGGACTACTGGTCGAAAGGTGTTGTATATCGGCGCTACCGTGGATTGCCGTCTTCAGTGCCGTGATCACACAGACAATATCATTGTATTAGTTTTTAAATATTATATTATATGTATGTTAGTCTATAAGGTATTTATAATATGGGCCTAATTGCCTGAAATAAATAAATAAATAAGGTTGGCAACCCTAAGATCAATCAACCCATGAAGTGCGCGTCTATCGAAAGGAACGGGGAATTTCTGGTCGCTAGTTTTTGACCAGTGTATTCTTTTAGTTGAGTAATATAACTAGGTAGGCCCCTAAGTAGATTTAGAGCCCAGGACCCCACAAATTCACGATCCGCCCCTGATAATAGTAATATTAACACACTAGGCTTCCAAGTTATATCTGAACTCTATTCAACGCCTGATGATGCCTCGTTCAGAGGCGAAACACGTGTCGCAATATGGGTATAGACTCATAACGGTCGGAATTTGATCACCATTAGAGAAGGTCACAACGGTAGTCAAGTTTCCACACCGAATATTTGTGGTCTAAGATCTCAGAGGCTAATGTATTGGAATTAAACAAAATAATATAAATCTATTAAGTTGTAATAATATTCTTTATGCTGCATAAAAATTAAAAAAAAGAACTTAATATAATTCTATTCTCACAAAAGGCGACCTCATCGCTCAAATGAATCTCTTACAAACAACCTGCGAGATAGAAGTTTGGTATTTAATATTATAAATGCGAAAGTAACTCTGTCTGTCTCGCTTTAACGCCAATACTACTGAGCCGATTCAAATGAAATTTGGTAGACAGATAGTCTAGAACCTGAAAAAGGATATAAGCTTACTTTTTAATGTGAAAAAAGGGTTCTAAGGGGTTGAAAGGAGAGATGAGGGTAGCTAGAGCTGGTAGGTAGAAACTTATTTTTTAAAGGTAAGGTTTAAAGTAAAATAAAATAGGAAATGAAAGTTTGTATGGAATTTCATCATTTTTCAAGCTAGAACTATGAAATTTTTTTCTTTATTTGTTCAAGGTCACTTTTTTAAAAGTTCACATTCCACGCGGACGAAGTCGCGGCCTGAAGCAAGTATACATATATATTCGAAAATAAAGAACTACGATGAACAGAATAGAATAGAATATTATTTAATTAAATAAATTTAAATTTAGGCACTTCTGATTTGCCATACAATAAGTAAGGCAAGTCAGAAGTGCATAAATTACTTACTGCCACATTGTGGAATCATCTCGCAGCAATGGTATTTCCGAACCGATACGATAACCTTTAATAAAAGAGCTTCTTAAAAGGCCGGCAACTCACTTGCAATTCCCTAGGTAGTAATCACTTACCATCAGGTGAGCCGCAAGCTCGTTTGTCTCTAACGCTGTTGTGCCTACAATTGTAATATTTGTAAACACTTGAGACGCTTCCATTAGTACCTCTCCAGATAACATACATTTTAGTTGAGTCAGTCCCGACTCCACGTCGAATGTACGCGTTACTAATAACCCCGCCCCCTCCGATCGATCCCCCATCCAATTCAAACGGGGACCGATGTTACGACGGCCTGAGCCGAGGTTCGAACCCCTAGCGGTGCCCTCAGACTAAAGTCGTATCCGTCAGGCGGGAGTTGGCCTTCAGCCGCTCCATAAGTCCTTCCGCGGGTTTATCTTCCGCCCCCTATCGTCCGGTGAAGCTGTAAAGGCCAGCTGCGGCCAACAGTATTAGAGTAGTCCGAAAAAAACGGATTTACATGAAACTTTACAGTAATACCTATACCTTACGCATCAGAATAACATATAGGATACAAATTTTGCAGGTTAAACCGCGGGCACAGCTAGTACTACAATAAACAAATAAACCATATAGCGACACCTCACCACATCATTTATAACGCTAGTGTTGAGGTGATAACCACTACGCTACACTATAAAAATAAGTAGAATAGAATAGAAATAGAATAGAATAGAATAGAAAATCATTTATTCAAATAAACTTAATATAAACACTTTTGAATAGTCATAACAATTTGTTTTTTATCTACCACTCGTTCGGAAAGCTGTCTCATCACAAGAAGAACGAGCAGGAAACTTGTGTGTTGCTCTTTTAAATAATCCTTGTAAGTTTACATTTACAAGTCGAAACGTGTGAATACAAACTACCAACAAGCACTAATTTTTTGGGTCAAATATAAATATGCAATAAGATTAAATCAGCTGTAGTGATAAGTATCTAACAAATTGGCCCTACAAATTGGGTGCTAAATTGTCAAACATGGCGGCAGTTACAAGGCGAGTGTTGACAACCATCAATCGGATGAAACACAATGCAAACTTTTTGCATGCATTTTTTTATCAGCTACAACCTTCACGCTATGATCAGATCACAGAGCGTAAACTGTAACCGTTATTACATTATCTAAGTATCTACTGATATACTAACTGCGTCACATTTTTTGCAACATTTTTTTTGCAGCTGCGCTCTTATTGGACTTTTTAGGAATGATAGTAAGCACCGTATTATAAATACGGATATGTTGTGTATTTTATTATAATAAAAGTAAATTGCAGATATATCTAAATATATAACTCAAAGTTGACTGACATAGTGATCTATCAACGCACAGCCCAAACCACTGGACGGATCGGGCTGAAATTTGGCATACACGTAGATGTTATGACGTAGGCATCCGCTAAGAAAGGATTTTGATAAATTCCACCCCTAAGGGGATATATTAACGCGAGCAAAGCCGCGGGCAAAAGCTAATATAGCTATATCTTATATATAAAATTCTCGTGTCACAGTTTTCGTTCCCATACTCCTCCGAAACGGCTTGACCGATTCTCATGAAATTTTGTGAGCGTATTGAGTAGGTCTGAGAATCGGCCAACATCTACTTTTCATCCCCCTAAATGTTAGGGGTAATCCAACCCTAAATTTTTTTTTTATTTTAAGGCAAAACAACGTTTGCCGGGACAGCTAGTAGAATATAAAATATGTAAGAATTAAGAGCACAGCAATTAATCAGTATGTCTGCAGAAGCTGCTTATTTTCCCGCGCGAACGTAGTGCGCCACAGATGCAGAATAGATGCCGCAGTAGTGATGGGCGCGTCATAGCTGTATGTGATGATGATGTTATATGACCTACCTCAATAAATGAGCTATTGAACAGTACAAAAAAATTCAAAATCGGTTCACTATTGGTGATTAATCCGTACATACAATCTCACTAACGTACCCCTAAACAATATGACTACCTAGATGTACTACCAAGATATAGGAAATGATTTGTTTCTTGTAAAAAAAAATTACAAAGCAGATAAAAGTTTTTTT